CCCCTTTTCTTCCATCTGTTCAAATGTCCTGCCTACCTTCTCCCTCTCTTTGTATTTTTTATTTTTTACTGGGAACATTAGAAAGGGGAAATAGACCTATGTGCAGTCTGCCATCTTGAACTAGAAAGTTTTCTTTTCATTCGTAGCTTGCCAAAGTTCTATTAATGAAGCTGATTCCCCCCGGAAAGATTAGTGTGAATGATTTGCTGCCTGTGCGCCGTCTCTGGACAGTCCTCACAATAATGGTCGTCCTTGCCGCCAGGATCTGCCTCTCTATAGAGATCAGACACGTTGAACAGCAAGGATGGAACCATGCCTCTGTTCATTCCAACCATGAACCCCTGGGTATTTGGTCTGTTACTGCAGCAGCCTGGTTCTCTCAAGCTTGGATGATAACAGAGGCGGTGCTAAGTGGTGGCTGTGATTAGAGAACCTAAGACAAGTACCCGTGCCCCACAGGTCTCCCATACCTCCTCTGTCTGCAAGGGGCTCCTTTGGTGCCCAGGAATCTCCTTACGAAATTGCTAGCATCCTCACAAAGAGTAAGACCTTAGGGCTTCCATACTGGTCGTGGCCAATGCCTTTCCTGGAAGCTTGGGTTTATAGAAACCTAAAGGAAACCTAAAGAAAAGGAGTCGCGGGAGGGGCTGTGGAGGACCTGAGTGAGACCCCCTAGGAGGAGAGGTGAGCGTAGCTCGGTGTTTCTCAGCATCCGGTGTGTCAGCTCTGGTGATACATTGCTTCCGTTTCTTGCTGTGAAATGAAATACCAGAGAGATTTGGCAGTAGGCAGTAAGTCGTCTGCACAGGCGTAAGGCTAGGAGGTCCTGAGGGATAGGTTGAGGATAGGAAAAGCAAAACACAATTCTGGATGGTCAGCATTTCCTTCAGGGTAAAATTGAACAGGCTCGCCTCTTTGGAAGCTTCCTAGCTAAGATGAAAACTAACCAGTCTTGTGGCTTTAACACCAGCTTTATGGTCATGATTCTCCAGCTCCTCTCTCCTCTGAGCTTGGGCATCTTTCTTTCTTTCTTTCTTTTTTTTTTTTTAAAGATTTTTATTTATTTATTTGACAGAGAGACACAGCGAGAACAGGGAACACAAGCAGGGGGAGAGGGAGAAGCAGGCTTCCCGCCAAGCAGGGAGCCCGATGCGGGGCTCGATCCCAGGACCTGGGGATCATGACCCGAGCTGAAGGCAGACGCTTCACTGACTGAGCCACCCAGGCGCCCCCTGCATTGAGCTTTTGATAGCAAAGATGATATCTTCTTATTTTTAGAATTTGTGCTTGGCTATTTTTCAAATCCGTCAGGGTCTTCTTGTCATACAAATCTTACATCTTATTAGTGATTTTATTTCCTTAAACATTTTAAACATCTTATTTTCTATTCCTGTTTGCCAGAATTCTGTTGTCTGAAAAGCACAGAAACCTAATCCTCCTGTCTTTTCTGTTGCCTTTCTTGAGGGTACCTGTATGTTTTGTAATTTTTAATTCTAAGTTCAAGTTTGTCTGGGTTCCCTCTCGGAGTTAAGGAGAGCTCTTCCAGAAAGGATTTATCATTGCCCCTGCCAGGTACCCGTGGTCACCGGCAACCCAGGTCCACTTTAAGCTCATTTCTCCTCTTGGGAGACCAAACTTGCAATGAAAACCTGTGGTTGACCAAACCTGTGGTTGCCAATTCTTAAGAGAGAATTTTTTCTTCACACAGAAGGGAAGATGCAGAAAAAGCATTTGACAAAGTACAGCATCCTTTCTTGATTAAAACTCTTCACAGTGTAAGGATAGAGGGTACATACCTCAATATCATAAAAGCCATCTATGAAAAACCCACAGCGAATATCATTCTCAATGGAGAAAAACTGAGAGCTTTCCCCCTAAGGTCAGGAACACAGCAGGGATGTCCACTATCACCACTGTTATTCAACATAGTATTAGAAGTCCTAGCCACAGTAATCAGACAACAAAAAGAAATCAAAGGCGTCCAAATCGGCAAAAAAGAAGTCAAACTCTCACTCTTTGCAGATGATATGATACATTATGTGGAAAACCCAAAAGACTCCACGCCAGAACTGCTAGAACTCATACAGGAATTCAGTAAAGTGGCAGGATATAAAATCAATGCACAGAAGTCAGTTGCATTTCTATACAACAACAATAAGACAGAAGAAAGAGAAATTAAGGAGTCGATCCCATTTACAATTGCACCCAAACCCATAAGATACCTAGGACTAAATCTAACCAAAGAGGCAAAGGATCTGTACTCAGAAAACTGTAAAATACTCATGAAAGAAATTGAGGAAGACACAAAGAAATGGAAAAATGCTCCATGCTCATGAATTGGAAGAACAAATATTGTGAAGATATCAATGCTACCTAGAGCAATCTACACATTCAATGCAATCC